CATGAAAAGGTGCTGCCAAACACACTGAAAGCAAATGAAGTAAAAACAACAATGGATGGGAGAAACAAAAAGGCAATGCTGGCAACAGATAGGAATAAGCATGTTGCAGCCAACAAGCTGCAAGGCAGCGATGGGTCAGGAAGACCTCCGCAACAAAGCAAAGGAAGAAGAGAGAGCAGCTACAGCAGCTTCTGAACGGTCCCAGGAAAGAGCTAGAAATGAGTTCTCATCTGTATTTTCTTAAAGGTAAGTCTTCATACCATCAGACTTGGGTACCACTTTTTTTTTTTAAGCCATGTTTAAGATATAATGAACTTATATGTGGAATAACCTCATTAAATTGTACACCTATAGCAAGCAAGCTAACTCACATTACATGACAGCTATATGAATGCCATGAATTAGGGCCTGCATCACAGTTTGTGGCTGGTTCTCCTACTAGGCTGCAGGAATAGGGGAGAAAACTGTTTCTCTCAGAGCGGATAGTAGTCAGGAAAGGCACACATTCCGCAAGTGGAGCAGAATGGCTGCGTTCACAGGTAACACTGATTGACGCGGTCGGCGCCTGTTCTAGACATAATTATTACAAAGGAGTAAACTGTGTTTTTCCTAAATGCCCTGAGCTTCTTTTGGGACACCGTCACCAGTGTTGGACATTTTCAACTAATTGTGAAACAGCACGTTAAACATTTTGACCAGCAGTTTTCATAAGAAAGAGACGTTACAAATTAACGCGCCTAATTTGTACAGGTATCAGGTGACACAAATGTTTCAAAGTATCTAGATGTAACATCAAGTAACTTGTTTTCCTGGCTAGCATAACCTAATTTGGTACATTAGCAACAATAGCAATTATAATATTGTTATATTGTTGTACAAATAGTCTCCAACAAAAGGTTGTACTTCATGTATTCTTTGTGGGGGCTAACCTTATCGATGGCTGTAGCCCCCAACCCTAGATGACAGTACAGAGAAATATCCAATCAGCTGTTTGTTAGCTCGGCGATGCTGTCACACTAATCACACAAATGTTTGTCCAAACACTGATTGCTGATTGACAGGCTCCTGTTGCCAGCTTACGTTTCAGTTTGCGATCAAGTCCCTCTCTGGGCTTTTTTTCAGTGCATATAACTCACCATTGTTTCAACATTGATTCTGATATGTCACCTTTTTACATTCACTCTGCTTACATGCAACAAAAACCACTTAAGCATTGAGCCTAAGTATTTTTTCTGGTAGGAAGAACCTGAAGTATACTGGTTTCTTGATATTTGCTTAGCTCAGACTTTATTTTCTTCCTATGTTTCATGTATTTTTCCTGACCCAGACAAAAAAATATTCTCATCATTCTCTGGGGTTCCTCAAAACATCTCCCAGAACTTCTGATCCTGGCAGTTTTAATTTGGTGAATCAAAGGATCTTTTCCCTGAGGGTTTGATCCTGGCTCTTTTCACAGTACAGTGACTGCCTTCTTCACGGTCTGACTTTTCTTCCTCTCAGGGGGACTGACAGAGGAGAAAAGACAGGGCGAGCGGGAAGAGGATGTGGAGAACTAGACTGAAGACAGATGGAGGGAAAAAGATGACAATACCAAGGCGAGCTGCAGACACGGAGACCTAGGAAATAGATGAGAAACAGCAAGTTCATCATCTTAACTGGCAGGCATACTAATCTCTCTTCTCTTTGTCAGACATCGTTTCTGTCTGTTTAACTCACCCTCATACTCCTTCACATTTTCTCTCTTTCTCCTCCTGTCTTAGTGATTTTCCTTTCATCGTTCTTCCTGTCCTCCCTCCTTCATCTCTCTTACCACCTCTGTTCTCCTCCTCCTTTCCCCCTTCCCATTGCTGTCTCGCCTTTGAGTCATTCAGAATAATTGCACTGCGGAGCTCTCCTTCGCTGGGTGCTTATCAAGATTTGGCTGCTATCTGCACACACAGCATGCCCTAACAACATTGACAAGTGTTTGCAGCCACACACGAGACATGCAGGCACACCCGTACACCCCTCTGTCAAGGTAAACAGGGTACCCTCTTGCACAGTGGGACCAATCACATGCTGAGAGCCACTTACAGTGCAACAATCAATGGCTCCGCAGGTGTGTGTGGGCTTCTTCGTTCAGCTCCCCAGCTGCACCTCTTATCTCTTTCCCATTAATCCATCGATCACCATTCTTCCAAAAGGATGAATGAGTCGCCAGTGATTCGCTTTTCTCTTCCCTCCCTTCTTTTTTTTTTTTTTTTTCTCAGTTTTATTTCACCAAACATTTCTTCAAGCTATGCTGGCTGTTCAGAAGCCAGAAGGAATGTAATAGATTGAAATAAATCTCACTAGGCAGAGAGCAGGGGCGTTGCTAGACATGAAGCTCTACCAGGGCCACACAATGTGATGAATCCTTTGAAACTGTACAGTGGATGGCTGGTCACACACCTGTCTCCATAGACACAGACAGCTTCCTCCACACTTTCCCTTCCTGCCTAAGTTTGTTTATTAAATGTGCATAAAACAAGCATCATTTGAACTGTGTGACAAGATATTATATTATAGTCTATTCATTAAATGCAGAATGAATAGTCCAATATAAACATCTACATGTGATGTATTATGCAACATACCTATCATTTATTTTATTTCACTGATGAATAGCGTTTTAAGAGTAGTCCACCTGGTTATGTACTAACTAAGGTAACGTCAGCTTGTTTACCAACTACAGCCAGGTCTTAAGTCTCTCACCTGATGCCTATGACAGAGAGAAACCACAAGAACTTTAGAGCAGAACATGAATATAAGTGGCTTTTCTTGTTTTTTTTTACACCAACCAGTGAGTTTGCAAGCTTTGGCTCCCATAAATCATCTGTACTTTACATTTTTGCTGACCAAACAAATACAGGTTATTTGCGTCCAGTCATTTCTGTACAACAATCAATTACCACATTACAACAGTGTAAGTTCACTGACAGACTGTCACTTAAATAGGAAAATGACTATAAATCAAAGAATGCTTGCTATGGTGGCCATAATTTTCATTTCTAAAATAACAGCACAGTCAGCAAAATAGTTCGGTGGAATAAGAGATGTGTCATAAATGGGTTAAAAACTGAAAAATGCCTGGTATTAATGATTCTGGACAGTCAGCAGGAGAGACATCACAGCAGAAACACAGTGTCAACAAATCTTGAAACTGAACTGGACTGAAACTTAGTTGAACTGAACAAGTTTTAAACCAAAAAGTGTGTGTGTGTGTGTGTGTGTGTGTGTGTGTGTGTGTGTGTGTGTGTAGCTGAGCTCTGCCCTCAGTCCAACACACAGATCTGAAATTGAATGCATGTTTAATTCCCAATTTCCACTTCTAAACTTGGCAAACAAAATCAAATAATAGCTTTTTGTTTTGTTTCCTGTGGTTTATTTCTAAATGGCAATTGAGAAACTGTTCTTTTTCTGATTTTGTTTGTTTGTTTGGATTAACTAGTCAATACTGATACTCAGAAGGAGCTGATTACTGTGGACTGCAGAGAAGTTAATATTGGAAATAACAAAATGGTAAAATAAAATATTATTTTGTTGAATTTAAGTGAATCAAATTTGCTTTTCACAATTTAAAAATTAATCCTCCGGTTTGATGATATTCCCCCCCCCATCACCCTTTTGATCTGTCAACACTAGCTATATCCTCAGAGATGGTCAACACACACAGTGTACTCTCTGACAAACTTTTCTCCCACCAAATCAAAGCTGAACTATCAAAGCACATCTTCTCAGGAGGTATAACAAGTGCACTTTTGCAGGTACACAACACACTACACTGAAATCAGCATCAAAGACGATAGGTTTGAAAAAATAACTCCATGAGCTTCATAATTCTTTCTCTAAGTGTTGTGTACTGTTGTAAGCAGCGCTGAGCCCTCCAATCATCCTACACATGCTTCATTCTCAACTCTTTTATCTTGAAAGTCTAGAAAAGCATCAGAAACCAGACCAGGTGCTTGAGAGACGGCATATACCTCAAGGTGATCAGAAAGAAGCAATACAGTCTACATGCTTTTGCTCAACAAGCAGAAGAAATGTCCAGTTGCTGCTTGTTTTCATTGTCATTTTAATCACGTCCATTTTGGAACTGTTGTTTTAATTGCTTCTGAATTCCACTTTGCCTCTTATGCAAATAGTGTTTGTTAGCTTTAATTGTGCTTTTAAAGCAGAAGTAATGCAACACTTTACATATGATGTGCAAATGTTCAATGGAAAAGACCCAATATAAAATAAAAGGATTTAGCATTTCTTAGCATTTATTACATTCATTTGGCAAATGCTTTGTTGAAAATGACTTTTTTTCCCTATGGATGTGGCATATTAAGAAAAAACTGGGCTTCAGTGTTTTGTTTACAAACGAACCTGTGGCATGAGGTGATAGGGATAACAACCCCATGTGTTACATACTGGAACATACAATGGACTCACTTTCTTCCAAGATTTAGATGAGAAGATCCATACCACTGTCATTTCTGATGGTTCAATATGAAGCTGGAGCCACTAGCTTAGCATAAAATAAATTCTGGAAACAAGTAACGAAGTGAGAGGTATCGTGAGGTTACCAGGTAAATCAACAACCCCCTCAAGCCTGTCATTTTTGCACTTGATCTAAGCTAACCGATCGCTGGCTGTACCTCCATATTTACCATAAGGACATAAGAGTGCTGTCAACTTTCTATATCTTCTAAAATGTTGAACATGGCTAAAATGTTGAATACTTTTTATTTGCTTTCTCTTTTTGTCTACTTTTTCTATTCTTTGTTTGTTTGTTGTCTTTCTTCTCCAAGCCCCAGGTCAATAAATACCTTTCAGTGTT